GGTACCTTGACCTGAAGATGGAAATAGCAGGCGTGAAAGCCAAAATGAAACATGTGAAGGACCATGGGTTAGGCTTGTGCCATGACATCTTCAGATGTGAAGTTCCATGGGAACAAAATTCAGCATTGTTGGCATCAACCTTGGTTTCATAACATGTATGTTCTGTAAAGTTTAGGCACCTCACTTGATCCATATTTCTAAATTATGCTTGTGTAACTGAGAACAAAACCAGAAGGCTCAGACTCAAACACACAGGGTCCCAGCTCCTAGGAACTGGACTTTCAGGTAGTTTTAAGTTTTCTGTCTAAATGCCTTTGAGCATCTGAGACTATTTTTCTTGCCCATCCCTAGCAAATGAGCACAAAAGTGAAATAATACAACAAAGAACAAGAGGAAGATTCCAAACTACTGATACTAAGGAGGTTTCAGTTCACCAGTCACAGGGATGGATTTAAGGAGAGGACTTTTCTCAAAAGATTATTTACAGCTGAGCACCTGGAGAAAATAGTTTGTACCTGGCACAGCTAAAGAGCTTTTTTCCTACTAAGTAATAAAGGAGGTAATCTTCACACTCAGAGTGAGCATCCTGGAAGAAAAAAAACCAGGTAAAATATAGCTATTGCTAAAGCAGGCAGAAAGATGTACAGCAGTGAAAAAAAAAAAAAAATCAATATTAATATTAGTAAAAGGATGTGTGAGATGAGTAAGAAAGAAAGCTGTGCTTAATTAATCTTGGGAGCTGAGAGCTGTCAAGAAGAAACAATGGATACACTTAGCAACACAAGGGATATGCCAGGCAATACTGCTCCCAGAGTGGGCAGCAGGGTGGCAGACTTGGCCTGATGCTGCATTGTAGGGGCCACAGCAAAGCAAAGGGATTGGGATCACTACTGCAGCAGTATTTTCACAAGCACACACTGATTGGAAGAGATGAAAGTGTGGGACCAACTCAGGGGTCTATTTTTTGCTTCAGGCCCACAGATCTGATGTTCAGTACATTTTCCTCCTTAACACACAAGGCTTCAGAGCAGGGCTGACTGCTTCTCACAGAGGCTGTGTTGCTATTGCATACACAAGCAGCTTTAACCAGCAACCTGCCAGGGGATGGCAAGGGCAGAGCTGAAACCTCCCTGGCCAAGCGAGCCGAGGCACTGCTGCAGAGCTCTGAGGGGAGGCTTCAGGCAGTGTCTCGGTCTCCTGTGTAAATGGGTGGGAGGAGCAGGTAAAAACCCTGCTTCTATCACTGCTCTCCATACCCACCCCCACCAGCACTGCCTTCGGGCCTGGGCTGCTGCAGGACAGGCTGCCTGGCAGGGAGCTGCCAGGCTTCTCTCATTGCAGCGAGGAACAGCTCCACTGCTCCAGTAGCACCACCACTGTTCTTTTGGAGCATTTCTCCTTTTGCTGGCTTTCTGCCTGCCTCAGCATCGAGTTCGGGATGTTGGTTTTCATCTCCAAAACTCTGCTTGAGCTGTTCCCTGCAGTGCTGTGCCTTACGCAGCTGCCAATAGATCATTGCTCTGCATCAGGAAGTGCCAGAGGAGGGGCCCTCGACCCCCAGGAAACACATTCTGCACAGTCTGCCAGCATATTATTTCCTATACTTTCCTTAAGGAATGACAGGCTTAAGTCTTTTTCTTCTATGAGCAGTCACAACTCTGACCTTCATACAACTCCCATCCCACCTATCATCCTGCTCATAATGCCACCTGGATGGTGTTCATGCACTCACCTGCATGAACAGCTTTCCCTGACTCAGCTCCGCTGCTTGGTGCCCTACCTAATAAAGGACATGGCTGCTGAAATCAGTGGAAATACTTTCCTTAACTTCAGTGGCCTTTGGGAGAAGCTTGTGAGAGCCCTGATGGAGTTGGGTCCTCAGGAGCTCATCTGATGCCAGTCCCATCACTGTGGAGAGCAGTGCACACCCCCAGTGCTGGCTGCTCTTCTCTTGCTTGCTGTGCCCCTTCACACATGGTTCTTCTGACCTGCTGTAACCACTCATGAGGGGCAGATCCAGCCCATCCCCTTGAGGTGCAGGTGTTTGTGTCCTTGTGGTTTTTCCTGTGGACAGAAGCATGTTGTGTGGCACTGTGTGGAGCAGAAGGAAAGCCTGGGGGCTGGAGCTGCCTTTCCAATAAAAAATGTGCCTTTGGGATAGCTGGGTAATTTAAACAATTGATCCTAAATGTGGAAATCAGATTTTATTAGTGGATACAGTGTGTGAGAGCACAGTGCCCATCACGGTGGCCTCGAGTCCAGCCTTTACATATCTTAAATACTAGTGCTGTCATTTATATTAAGGAGGTGATGAGCTATTGTTTCACAGTGAGATGTTCAGAATATTTGGCAGCTTTGGGGCTTGAATGACGATTTTCACTTTCAAAATCAAGCTGCCACCTTGTGGCACGGTAAGGGAGAAGGCTGCAGGAAATTATATTGCTAGGAAAAATCTACCTACATGGTAAAAACTGATCCTTTTGCCCCATCAATGACTTACAGCATCTATCTATTCTTAAAAATATTTTGACTATACTTCAGGTAAATTAATAAAAGTTCTTATGCTGTGCTTTAAAAAGTCAATTTAACAGTTTGTGATTGCTTGTCAATGTAAAACATAAAAACATTTCCTCATTCTTGTATGTAGTTGTACTGAAATTATCAGTGCACTCATTGAGCAAGTTTTTCAAGATTAGATCCACATGCAGCTTATGGTAAAACACAAACTATAAAGGGTATAGGTATCTATAATTGTTTCCTTTCTCTCTTTTAAGCTCATTAATGTTAAGGAAAAGTTCTGTGGGAGTTGGAGCAGTGCCACGCATGCTGCTGAAGGAGAGCAAATTGTAGAGCATCATCTGATCTCAGGAGGTGTCCATGTGCACCCTCTTGGACCATGATGGACATAAGGTAATTGTAACCAGCTTTCTCTTTCGCTGTAGCCCAAGCCATCACAAATGACTTCACCTTGCTTGTCAAGGAAGAGCAAGCACGATGGATCAACAGATGTGCAGTAATCTGTTACAGCAACGTGCTGGTGCATCTCAAGCTGTAGGCAGCAGACCAGCCTGCAGATGTGCTGGCACTGTCGTTTCAGGGTACAGCTAGATTGAATACTGTGTCATGTAATACTGTGTATGGAAGGTGATAGATGAAAAGCTAGTCCATTTCAAATTGAAAAGTGGTGCTGAGGTGAACAGTTCACTGCAGTTAACACCAGTGCTTTGTGCATCCCTGACTTTTCAGGAATATATTGCGTTTTGTTTGTTTTTTTTAAAAAAAGTGCAGGTAACAAGAAGCCATTAACTCTTCTTTTAAAGCATGAAGTGGGGTCATCCACTACTGAGAGTATCAAAGTAAGAGGAAGGCAGTCATGCAGAGGGGAACCTAAAGGTAAAGACAGCCTGATGCTGACTCTCCTCTTAAGTAAGCCAAGAAAGACCCAGAAGAGCTGTTTTGGACCACCAGGACAAGCTGTTCTCCTTGCCACTATGTCTGTTACAAAGTGCAATAATGGAGGGAATAGTTTTTAGCTTTAGTTTATAATTTTTTATAAAGTATTCTTTGTCCAAAAAATCCATATGTAGAAGGAACTCACAAACTTCATAGTTCTCCACGAACTGCTGTCTTGTAACACCTTTGTTGAGCACTGGCTCTAGGAGAAAGCTGGTGAGCATTCCCATGGACTAGGGTCCTACAAGTCCTCATGGGGCTGCATGAGGAGCCTGGCCTCTGGAAACCTTACAAACACAGGAGCTGCTCCAACTTCCAGAATCACCAGGCTCACGTTTTCCCATCAGTCCACTTGGCAGCCAAACTCCCAGGAAGGATAAACATGAAAGTTTCTTGTTAACGGTTGTGGTGGCAGCCGCTTTGCTTGGTGATTTACATCAAGGGTGGGTAGTCTCTTTCTGGCTGTAGTCTCATAGAGCAGTGAGTGCAGGTGTGACCCACTTCTATGTGATGCATGGCAGCAGCTCCTGCTAGCCATGTGTGGGTTTGCATCATTTCAGCCTGCTGTCAGCACAGGGACAAGGTGGGCAAAGAGAGAAGTGAAAGAGAGGGAGGAGGAAGTGAGTGTTCAGTAGGTGGTGGGTTTGTGAGGGAGAAGGTCTGAATTTAGATGAAAGGTGGGCAAGGAGAAGAGCCTATGGACTCACACAGCCTTTTGTGTTTGCACCTGGGTTCATTCACGTGTAAGCCCTCTGTGGTGTGTGAGATCCACCACCCCATAACACAGCTGGACAGCCTTGCATCCCCCCCCCCCCACCTCACCATTTCCCTTTCCCAGGAGCACTGCTTGTGGCCTCTAAACAAACTAGGGAACTCCTGCTGCTCAAGGAATTATACAGGAAACTGGGCTGCGTCAACACAGCAATCCTTTGGGACTTTACAGATCAGGTCATCTATGAGACCTGTATGGTGGAGGGCTCTTGTGAAGGCCTGCCTGATGGCTGGAGGAATTAAAGCAGGACCAACCTGCCAAATGCTGTCCTGAAGAAGAGTGAGCTTCCTCCCACAGAAAAGCTACCTTTTTCTTTTTTCTTTTTTTTTTTCCTGAAATGGACTAATTAAAAGGCATCTGCAGGCAGAATATCACATCTCATTGCTGTCAATAAATCAGCAATTATAATGATGAAATATGAATCTTTGTCCAGCTGAGAAAGAACACCTAGGAACAGTGTCTTTTAATATAGGTGTATGGCAGAAGAAGAGGGTAGCAATGTGATTAGTGAAGCTTTATGTGTATAAAATCCACGGAGAGAACTCTTGTTTTGTTGTTATTGCTAGTGTGTCTGTCCTCACTTTCATAAAAAGAGTGTGGTGATATCCAAGAGTGGCATTTTGATGCCTCAAATGCTCCTCATATAAATAGAACAAGCAGATCAGCATGACTGAGTGATAAAATTACCTTCTGGTCTTCAGGAACTTCAGCATGCAACTGTGCTGTAGGGACCTCAGTGTACCCCTCTTAACAGCACAAACAAATACGTTTTGGAATGGATTTGGAGGAGACATGCAAAGAAGGAGAGAATACAGAGAGGAAAATGACTCGAACTGCAGCTGCAAAGTTGGTGAAAAGGGCTTTTCTCGAAGCCCTGAAGTCCAATGACTTTGAAACACTGGAAGAGCTCTTGAGCCAGAAGCAAGTAGATGTGGACACAGTGTTTGAAGTGGAAGATGAAAACCTGATTCTGGCATCCTACAAACAAGGTAAATGTGGCAGCGTTCACCAGCCAGGAAGTAGATGGGTTTGAGTGATTTTTAAGAAACACTGGACTTTTGTCTCTTCTGAAGCTATAGCATAAGCTGATTCATAGACACTAATGTCTCAGTAGGTTCATACAGCTGTGGTCATTGCAGGAGGGGAATTTATCAGCTGCACCCAGCAGGCTTGGTGGAGGGCAGGGCCAGAGACCAGCCTGAGCCTCTGTGCTGCTGAGGCAGCTGCTGCAGCTTCATGGCAGTGCAGATAGAGAACTCCTTTGCCATTTCCTTGCAGAGAACTCGGATGCAAAGCCCAGAATAGACACATGCAGGCTAAGCCTGGTATATGCATTTCTTGCATGTACTCAGTCACATATACAAACCCTTTAGAAACATAAAATATTACATCTCTTTCAGCTTACAGTTGTAGAGCAGTGAACTCTCCCTAGCTCAGGAGAACTAAGGAAATATTGCAGAACTTGCATGTGGTTGGATGGGGGATTTATTTTTCAAACTGGCAGAAAATGAGGATGTGCTAGTTTATCAAAACAGAAAAATCATCTGGAAAAACACAACCAGATAAGACATCTATTTTGGAGTATGGAAAACCCAAACTATTTCTTAGCCAGGCACTGAGTGAGCTTCCGAAAGCTTACAACTTAAAGCAATAAAGCAAGTTTACTCTCTGTTAAAATGAACAAACTTCATTACCTACTTGCTAACAGATACTTTATGTGCATCTAGAAAACAGTAATTACCAGCCTTTGACAGAAATTATATGTGGAGATAAACACTTCCAGTCCCAGCAGCACAGCAAATGCCTTTTTTTTCTGTGACATTAAGAAGGGACAACATCTCACCTCTTCTCCTTTTCTGTGTTTACCTCTTATTTAATGATTTGTTCCTGTTCTTCTGATTTAATTAGGATGCAGATGTTGCAGTCATGATATACTTCCCTTGGAGACAGTGTCTGAGCTAACCCCACAGTGACAAGTGTATCTTACAATACCTTTTTGTCTATCCTCAGCAGGCTAAGATGCATTCTGGTCATGGTTTGAGACCACAGGATTAATGCATAGATTTTTCACTTGTAGATCATTTGACTGCAAGAATTCAGCTGTAATTTTTGGAGAAGTCTCTCCTTTCTCCAAAAGGTAGAGAGGTAAATGCACCCTATGGCCTGATTCACAGCAGTGTATTGTCTTCTTCTGAAAGGCAGAAGACTCCGTGTCAGCTCTTATGGAAATTTTGCTTTATTCTGAGGCCCAGATAACTGTGATAGGAGAGAGGGATTTACTTGAGGAGGGAGAGGAGAGAAAAATTAAGCCCCACAATCCCACCATTCAAACAGCCCAAAGTAATGAAGTGGAAAGGAGATACCACGGGTGACAAATTGGCTTTGCTTCCTCCCTTCCAAAGAGGTGTAGAGCTCCCAAGGACACTGACCTTGCATGCACCATGGATTTTTCATGTTTTTAACCAAAGAAACAGGCAAGCTAAGAGGTCTTCCATGGACCCTGTGTCTGCTTCCTGCTCAGTGCCCGGTCCCTGTCCCTCTGGGCCCAGAGATGCCCGTGGGTTTGGGCAAACGACGCAGGAGATGCTGCCTCAGGATGTCGAAGCTCAGCTTGCCTGCAGCAGCACAGGAAATAAACAGTGGTCTCAGGCAGGGAAACTGAGGCTACAGAAAGTGATAACTTGGCTTTAAGGATGACTTTCCTGCTGTTATGTGTCATTTATGGCTCATATCTGGCCATAAATGTGAGACTCAGCTCCACATAGGATAATCCAGCAGTGTCACTAATAAATCAGCTACTGTCATGACTGTCCATTTTGTATCTGCAGTCTTTCAGTGCAAGTCTAGCATTTTCCAGAGGCATAGAAGAACTGCATTATTGGCATCTATTTCAGGATATACTTGCAATTTAATTAGGAAGGAAGAAAAACTTGAAGACAAGTTTCTCCCTGAGACCAGCGTTTTATTTCTACCTCTTTCCTTCCTTTCCATCTTCTTTCTCTCTAAACAATACACATGAATACTGTAAAAACTGTATCCAAATGACATTAAGCTTGAAAAACTACATACAAGTAGAGATTACAAGAATGAAGGTCTGAATTAATTTGACCTCATTATACATTTTTTTTCTGTCCTTTAACATGACAACAGTATTCAACTAGGCAGTTGTCCAAGAAGAAATAGATAAATAAAACCCAGAATATGTTATAGGCACATTCTAGCTGAGATGCAGCTGCTGAATCTAAAAAGAAAAGAAAAAAAGATGTTTTAGACTTCTCCTGCCCTTCTGCACATTATCACTGTGTTTTACTGTTTTCAGAACAAATGATTATAGTAGTGACTTCTGAGACTGTCTCTGTGTGATCATTAAGCATGAAGTCCTACTTTGGGAGCAAATATTTAAGAATATTTAAGTTTTATTTGGTCTTACACCTATTTGTAAGTTACAAAAAAAAAAAAAAAAAAAAAAAAAAAAAGGTGCTATTTTCAGCAAAAAAATCTAAACATTTTTTGAGCCAAATTTCATGCTAAAATGTTGCTCCTACTTGGCACTTCATCCTAATTTACATCAGCATCCAAACTCCTCACCCCATGCTGCTCAGGGGCAACAGTTGGCAGGAGGTCTGTGATACAGCTGCAGCCACATTGCCAGGGGTCATCTATGTGGAATGCATCACTGGAGGTCTGAATCCAGCTCCTGTCATGCAAGATCCTTCCATCTCCTCCACAGAAACAGCAGGGTGAGCTATCTGTTGAGTCACTGGCGTAAGTAAATGCTGCCTTCTTATTCCAATGCCACATATTAAGGTATTCAGCAAGCTGAAGATCCCATTTCCCCCATATTTTTTATCTGGTGGCATTTAAAATGCTCTAAGCATATATTTTTTTAAAAAAATTAGTCTGCACAGGTGACAAGAAAAACAGAAGCTGCCTTCAGAGTACATCTACATGGGAAATACCTCTCCAAAAGGCAGACTATTCAGCGCACATACTGAAGTGCTTAATGCAAATGAAGTTATACTTGAGATACCTGTAGTGCTGTAGCTGGTGAAATTAAAGTAAATTAAAGCAAAACTCTAATCTTTTCTTCCCCCTCAATAATTCTCAGTACCTGGATAGTCCAAAGAAAAGTCTTTGCCAAGCATGGTAACACACTTTCACTTTGTACAGGGTACTGGCTGCCCAGCTACAAATTAAAAATGTCTTGGGCAACTGGACTTCATCTGGCTGTCATGTATGGACATCTGGAGAGTCTTTCCGTCCTGCTCAATCACAAAGCTACAATCAACTGCCGGCCCAATGGAAAAGCTGCAATCCACATAGCGTGTGAAACAGCAAACGTCGAGTGCCTGAAGATCCTTTGCAACCACGGAGCTAAGGTGAACTGCTTCTCAATGAGTGGGCAGGCTCCCTTGCACTTCTGTACAACACGAACCTCCGTGCCTTGTGCCCAGCAGCTGGTTTGGAGAGGTGAGATAAAGTTCTGGAGGGTCTCTCATGGCGTGCCCAGAGATGGTGGGCATGGTCGGTGGTTTCTCTTAGGAGGGACATTTACATTTGCCAACGTACATGTGTATTTATCCCTTTCATCCACAGCTGACTCACATCTCCATCTCAGACTCCTTTTCCCCATCTCTTTGATGGAAGGAAATTTCTCCTATTCTGACTCCTCACCCCATCTGTCTTACTCTCTCCCTGGCCACTCACCCTTACTCCACAGTTGTTTCCCATTTCATTGTCTCCAGCCTGCTGTCTGGTCAGGCCCTCAGCAGAAGGGCTTCTCTGAATCAGGGAGTTTCTACTTCCCTATTCTTATTCTATTTTCTTTGTCTAAGTTTACTATTGAGATGTTTTCACCTGAGAGTGCACTCCTTTCCTCTTCTTGGTCAAATATCCTTCATCTCAGTAAAATGCTTCTAGCCACTTGTTTTTTTGAGACCTGGCCTTGAAAAACTGGATGCAATTTTTCATACCATCTTTTCACTTGTCAGCAGCCAGACTCCTGCATCTATGATGGGACTGGGGGAAAAAGGCTATTGATACAAGTTTTTTGTTTTCCTAAAGTGAAATGCTGCTGATCATCTGTAACAAATGATGCTATAAATAGATGCATTTCCTGGATAGATATATCGGTGTCACACACTGTTTCCTTAACACAAGGATACTGACTGAGGATGCAGTAAAATACAGACATAAAAAGTACAGCAAAGTCAGACAGTTCAAATCGTAAGTTACAGAGAGATTCCTCTATTTTTCACACTGTGCCATGGCAAATAAGAACTCTTCCAGGCTGTTGTTTTTTTAGTTGTGTTGTAGGTGGGGGTTTTTGAGGGGTAGGGGTGTTGGGGTTTTTTTGGTTGGGTTTTTGCTTGTTTGTTTTCTACATGTGTTATTATTGAAGGCTTTTTCTGAGATGCAGAGCCCAAGCGTGCTTTGTGGGAAGGGCAATCAGCCACCCGAAATGAATAACTGCATTGCTTCTCTTCTGCTGGAAAGATACATATTATTGTGTTTGGTAGAAAGGAAAAGAAATGCTGCCAGTTGTATCCTGCCTAAAGCAAACAGTCCTGACAGCAGGAGCTGAATTTGCTACCATGGAAAAGCTTGGAAGTCAAATATAGCCCTATAAAATGTAGCATAGGAAGAATGAAAATGAAAGGATGTATTCTGAAGGCTTTCTCTACCCACCCATCAGCAACAGCATAATAATACTTCACAAGCCACCCTTCATCCCAAAACACTCGGTAACTTGAATTTCCATATGAGCTAAATGTTGTGGCTCCAGATAAAATGGGAAAGATCTGAAGCAAAACGTGGCAGGTGTGCACAGAAAATCGCAGCACCACCCAAGAGCCTGGGTTTTGATTAATGTCCCTGGATCAAGGTTTACCAAGGCACATCTCCTGCCCTGCTATCTCCACTCAGTGGTGTCACACTGGGTCGATTCAGGCAAATGCAGTTTAACAACTTCTGGTTTCAGCAACTTGCAAACCAAGCAAAACTGATCCCCTGTCAATTTACCACCTCCAAACTTAGATTGCTGATCCTCCCATGGACATCTGACACGACTAACACTCAACATGGCTTAATGGCACTTTCCAGCCCAGAGGTAATTTCTGAATCCGCAGGGAGCCCCGCAGGGAGTCCCGCAGGGAGTCCCGCACGGAGCCCCGCAAGGATCCCCGCACGGAGCCCCGCACGGAGCCCCGCAGGATGTCCCGCCGCTGCCGGCCCCGCTGGGCGCTCAGCAGATGGTGCTGTTGCTTCAGCCGCCACGGCCGCTCGGCACGACTCAGCAGTCTTGTCAATCCCCCTCGCAGCTTGGGAACAGGATCCAGGCCCGCAGCTGGGACTTTGGTTACGGGGGGTTTTTTATATCATCGACGAATCTATAGTGAAAGGTGTTTTCTCCCAGGCTGGCAGGCCGTGAGGTCCTGCGGGAAGTTTTCTCATGGTGTAGGTTTGAGCAGATCTATTCTCTGGAGCAGGAGTAAAGCTTTTTCCCCTCAGTTCTTAATTTATAGGAAAAAACATTTTACACCGAGATTTGGACCTGCATGCCAAAATAGTGTTCAGAAACGGCCTTTTGTCAGCTCGGGGCCAAGTTACCACATCTGAAGCTGCATCCTGAAGTTTCCAGGTTTTTCCTAGAGGCTTAAGAAATGCAGAACCCATGTCCCTAGCTGTTTGCATTTCCATGTTTATCTTTCAAGCTAGTTGCCCACCCTCACCTTCTCCTGCAGCAGGGCTCAAGCAGAGAGATGGCCAAACCAGAGTTTTGTTGCCTTGATGTTTTTCCCCCATCATCTTTTTTTTTTTTTTTTTTTTATGATTTTGTTTGAAGCCATAAATACATTAGGAGCAAAGTAATGTTTTCAGCCCCAGAACAAGTCTTAGGTTTCTAGCAGTGAGCAGACTAAACACAGTGTACTGACTACAGCAAGTACAGCAGAGTGTAAAAAAGGGGTAAGGGAAAAAAATCTGTATCTTAAGACTCTGAGCAACTGCTGAAACAGCAAAGCACACTTTTAATTCAAGTGTTTACCAATAATTCGCCAGGAACTGAATAGAAATTATAACCTCTCAAATAGACTTATGTCCAGACATCAAGCTATCAGAGGGATGCAAGACTTCTAAGAGGACTGTGGAGTCACTGCTCAAGGTGCAAAGCCACTGACCCAAAACATGGAGAGCTGCAGCAGAACTAGACTCTTCTCCAGCTCTTTTGGCCTGTCCCAAAGCAGGGGAGTGTTTGGCAGGAGCAAATGTGAACATAAAAACAAACAATCAAGATGAGGAGACTCCTCTGCACACCGTTGCACGTTTGGGTATCCCAGAGCTTGTGGCCTTTTATGTGGAACAAGGAGCAGAGGTTGATGCTCTCAATGCCTACATGGAGACTCCCCTGGCCTGTGCAGCCTATTGGGCCCTGCACTACAAGGATCAGATATACAGCTCAGATCACCACCTCATCTGTCGGATGCTCTTAGACTATAAAGCTGAAGTGAATGCTCGTGATGAGGATTTTAAATCGCCACTCCACAAAGCTGCCTGGAACTGTGATCACATCCTGCTGCATATGCTGCTGGAGGCTGGAGCAGAAGCAAACATCATGGATGTCAATGGCTGTGCACCATTACAGTATATTATAAAAGTGACATCTGTGCGACCAGCTGCCCAGCCTGACATCTGCTACCAGCTGCTACTGAATCATGGAGCAGCTAGGATATACCCACTGCAATTCCACAAGGTTAAGGATGGCTTTGTACCATGAGGATGTGGATAGAAGTGGTGTCTTAAATATAAATGGGATGAGAGGTCCAAACTTCAGGGTTTGGTGGTATCTGGATTTGCTGGAGTCCTGTAAACTGTGGGCTCAAAATGCCCAAAATCTTGTGAGCCAACTTGCTGTAAGCATGGTGTCATTTAACTGAAGTGAAATGATGGTTGCTAATGTCAGAAACCAGACTCACATCCCATTTTTGTTCTTAGCCAACCTGAAACCCCAAACTCTAAATGCTGGTTAAAGCCTAATTTTTCAGTGCTGATTCACTGCCTCACTTCAGAAAACCCATATGGGGTTTATCAAACCTGGATCCATACAGGCTCAGCTGTATAGAGTGGAAATCAGACAAGTTGATTCCCCTTGTCTCTTCCAACCCTTAAAAACCAATTCAAATCTCTTAAAAATGAAACGGATCACAATAAAGCTTTGCCTAATGCCCAGGAAATGTGAGAAATTAAGGGCAAATGCTGGGCCTGGGCTCATAGTTAATTTTTTTTGAATAAATAAATAAATAAACAAACTTGCTGAATCCCTCCCAAAGGATTTCTAGATGTCTGCAAAGCCCAAGGCACTGACAGAAGTAGCTGACAGACCTTTTATATCACACAATTAAGTAAGCTTGCTGTAGTCAGGACTCATTCTCCCTCATCCTGCAGCCTGAGCAGCATTTTGCAGCTTCTCCACTGTATATATAAAGTTTCAACAAGTCAGACATCCAGAAGCCTTTCAATAAACTGCCAAATCTTTGGCTGTGAGCTAGCCCTGTCTTTAAGAAAGTAACACTTAGTTTCCGAGAGAGCATTTGAGACCTGGGTCTGAAGTCTCCTCTTCCTGCCTATGCCTTTTTCCTGTTGCATCGGGCAGGTCTGCCAGCAAAACAATCATTTGCCATCTGCAAAATACGTAGGATTATATTTATTATAGAGGGATGTTCTGCAGTTTTGTTTGTGAAAGGCTGTCTACTGTGTGGGGCAAAATTGTGCCTTGTCTGGTGTGCATGCAAAGCTTTTCACAAAGTCTTGTTCCCCGAGTGTGAGTTACAGTAGACTTGGGTTTTTTTCGTACTGAGCTCAAGTTACTGGAGAGTAACTGGAGAACTACTGCAGAGTCTTTGTTTCAGAGGCCTTGTGGGGTTCGGAAGCCTTACTTCTGAGCTATGTTATCTCCTAGTCTTCCTTTTCATTTTCCTGTAACCCTTCATTTTTTATTCACATAATGAATTTTTTTCTGTTTCTGTGATGCATGACCTGGAGCAAGGACTTTGTGCATGGCTTTGCCTGGTGTTGAGACACTCAACCTAGGTATGAACAAGTTATTTCCAGAATCAAAGAATGAAGCTACCCCCATCAGCAAACTACATGGTTCTGGAGATCTAAGCCAATATTTCTGTATGACCTTACACCGGGGTGTGCACAGCTCCACTGGGGCTAGCCTGGGGTTTCTTGCTGCACTTGCACTGAGCAGTGTAGACATGGGCTGTGACTTTTGCATGTCCAGTGCTACCCTCTTGTAATTCTCTGTCTGCGCCTGTCTCGGTGCGTCACTGCACAGCGCCAAGCACCCAGGCTAGCCCCAGCTTCTTGGTGGTCCTCATAGTCTCTATGCATCCTGCCTGCAGGTGCTACAAGCCTGTCATTCCCACCCCAGAGCTGTGGAGGTTGTTGTCAATACCTATGAACACATCAAATCAACTTCGAAGTGGAAAGCAGCCATACCTGATGACGTCTATGAGGTAAGCTCTTAATGAGTTGCAACAGAATAAAATCCAAGCTTGTTATTTTCATCCTCTATATCTGGCCAAAGAAAAGTGACAATGGTTCTGAAAGAGAAGAACATCTCACAGTATGTCCCCATTTATTATCACTCACTTGACAAAAGCATATCACTCACTGAAAAATAGACCTATTTTTGAGAAGCAACATTATCCTTTGGAGCACTGCTTGTCAGGGGTGCTGCAGGAGCTCAGCTGTCCCTGCACTCAGCAAGTGCAAAGACTCTGTATGTGACTGGTGTTCCGTCAGATCTGTCAATGTGTGTATTTATATTTTTTAAAGTCAGCAAATGTTTTAGAAGTATTGTGTTACATGCGAATGACTATATATCTTTAGGGTCTGTTGCATGGGTTGAGTTTCTGTGAGCAGAACTTGTTAGCTGCAAATACAAGGAAGAATTTAAATGAAAAATAAAAGATTGAAGAAGGAAGAGATGTTGTCAAAAGGCAAAACTGTGAGACAAGCTACATGCTTGACCTTAACTATCCCTTTACTTCAGAAATTCTCGTAGTCCCAAATGAACGTTCCAGTTAAAAGCTAGGTTTTTTATTCCGAGCTGTCTTTAAACTTTCAAACCAGTGCAGAAGTTAAACACACCAATATCTCCCATGCATTATCAGTGACATTTAGGGTTATAATGCCTATGTATAAATGTATAAAGTTATACAGCCAGAGAAACTGTGAGACTGTTTTTTTCAGGTCAGCTTTGTTCAGAAAAACATTAAAAGAAACCATTTGGGGTGAACACAAATATCAAAGGTGCTGCTTCACACAATAATGATAATAACAACAATAATAAAAGTTTTGTTGAGCTATAAGTGTGATTAGAAAGGAAATAACTACTTCTTTTTCTCCAAACAAAAATTTTAATTTGAAATATTGAAACATTCTTTTGGAAAAGTCTACAGTTGCTCTATTTCTTTGTTGAGATTGTAATTTTTGTTGTTGAAGCTGTTGCCAAATTTGATGTGTAATGGAAGGAAAAAATTCTGTTGACACAAACTGTACTTTTCAACACATGAAGTGTACCTGAAAAAAAGTGTAACCAGTTCTGTCAAGTAACAAGAATATTAAGTAAGTTCAAGTCATGCACAGTCACATTTGCTTCTTTTATTTCAACACCATTTAGAAACATCGGCATTTTTATTCTCTTGGGGATGCAATTTTATTTATTCTAAAAGGCCACTGGGGTGATGAGCAAGGCCGTTCACAGCCCTGGTGAACTCCTGGGTAGCACCAGCATTGCACCGTCTCGCTGCCCATGGGGTTTAGGAGACAAACTCGTCCTCATGCCCTGACCCTGAGCTGGCTGCATTATCTGTTCACATCAGGACTAGCACTGCAGAGGAATTCCCACCTCAAACTGATGGATATAAGGTGCACAAAGCCTAAAGATTTCAGCGTCATCTTTTCCTTAACACTATTTGAGGCAAGCGTAAGATTTTTGTAGGGGCTTTTAAATGGCTAAACCAACTGCTGGTGCTTGATGTGCCTACAAGGGACAGGATAGCTGTCTGTGCTTTTTACCTGCATGTGGACAGGGGAAAGTGGGGGAAGGAAAACAGTCTTATTGCCCTAAAACATGCTTGTGTTTTTTTACAGCGGCACCAGGATTTCTATGACTCCTTGTTCGCTGTGTGCAGCAATACACCAAGGTCACTCATGCACTTATGCAGATGTGCTGTTCGGGCAGTATTGTCAGAAAGGTGCCACCGAGGAGTCCCCTTGCTCTCCATCCCCCCATTCATGAAGAAGTACTTGCTGCTGGAACCAGAAGGAATCATCTACTGAGCTGGAGCAGCATCTCCTTTCCCAGATCTGCACGCCTCTGTGGGGTGCTGCAGATCAGGCCCAGCCCTGGAACAGCCCTTCGCTTCTGCACAGTCGCGGACCAGCCGGAAGCTGGGCTGGGATTTACCGCCTCTCCTGGGAGCCGCTGCCTTTCCTGGCACTGAGGAATTGCAGCTGCAGGCTGTGGGTCGCGCTGGGGGCAGCAAAGCTGTAAAGCCCCCCCTCCAAACAAACATGAGGGCACAGACTGCAATGCTTTGTTCAACCTGGCTTCAACGGTGCTTCTGCTGCCTTTCGTATTTATTGCACTGCCTGCCAGATAGCATGAGATTAAATCTGAACAACTTTTGATACTCTTTCACTGTCATTTTCTTCAGCTGTCATTCGGGGAGTAAAAGAAAAGATACCATCAAAAAAATTTGACATTTATTAGCATAACAGAAAAGCCTTCCGAGAAAGAAATGGGCAAACTGCTTTGAATCATGACCACAGACAGGGTGTTAGTAGTTCATATATTTTCCTGTGGATTGCCTCTCTATTCAGTATTAATTCACTGTTCACTACACCTGCCTGATAAAGCTTTGTTATAATAATATCCTTTTTAATTGCAAGAGTTTTTGCCATTATCAATTGAAATAATGAAATCTGCAGCACTGAAATTTCTGTTCATAGCTATTCATGCCCACGTAGTTTATATCCCTCAGAACACTGACTGCAAAAGGAGCTTAGGTTGCTAATGTGGACTGTACACCTCATGCTTTTTGGCAGTTAAGCGCAGGTGAGAGAAATCCCACCTTAACTACAAGGTGTTTCCAAGATGAAGATGTGTGGGCTGTGCTGTTACAGTCCTGTCTGTCCCCCTGATTCGCAGGCCCTGTGTTTTTGGCCCTGCCAGCACCGCTTCCCCTGCTCACACGAAACCTTTACTCCTGACCAAGCTGCTGTCTCCTCTTGAGGAGGATGAAATGCAGGGCAGGGCATTTCACACACCAAGCATCCCACAGCAAGGGCAAGTGTGTGGTCTGACCTACAGATAAAACCCTTTTCTCTTCCTTTTTTTAGGTTGATGCAATCTGTCGGGGCTGTTCCAGTTTTCTAGTCCCCGATAATTCTGGGCTCTGTTGAAAGGGAGGTGAGTCATGCCCACCACTGGGAGCCAGTAACTCCTGACTTCTCATTGCCTCTCTGACTGTGAAGCTGTTGGTCCTTATCATTATTGCTATCTCTTTGCCAGACAGCCCACAGCTCCTTAGGCTCTTCCCTGCAGGACAGGAGTGGCCAAGCTGTTCACTTGAAGAGCCATGCATGTTATTTAGTGTTACGAATCACCTTTCTTTTCATCTCAGTTTTCATGAATCAAAGGTTGTACACTATGTTAGAAGAGAATCCAATTGATGGCTCTTTTTATGTTTAGCTAGACAGCAAAGTAGATTGCTATTTAACAGTTTCCAGTTCCAATGGAGAATTTCAAAGACAACACAGACCATGACAAAATGTTTTCTCATGTGAATGAAGTTGTAGCATAGGTCCCTGTACTTTACTAAACCGATGAAAGATTTGCATAGAGTTGCAGAGTTATCTCTATCAAAGTTACTACAGGTTTTTACAGAGGAGAATTATCAGGATCTGGGGCAGTTTGTCTATAGAAAAATGCACTTGAGGCACTTGCAGGTCAATGGGATCCACTGAATTCTGCACTGAGGAAAACCAGTGAATTTGGAAAGACAGAGAAAGCTTAGGTTATCTAAAACCAGTGCTTTTCTGGGCAAAGTACCTATATAAGTCAGGCATGAGGAAGAAGATTTGCAAACTGGTTCAAGTCAAGAAAATGTTGCTTTCTGTACAGGCTGACAATGGGGTAAGCTGGATAGCCCAGAAGAGACACATGGAGGTAGCTGATTTTATTCGGAGCACATCCCCACACTGGCTGCTTTTGGAGCTGAAATTCTTCATCTGGAAGAGGGAGGTTTAAGGCAGAACAATAGCAGCCGTTTTGACCTGTCGTAGTCAAGACGCTCTTGCTGAGAGAGAAGAAAAAAGGCTGTCACCAGTGTTCCTAAATTCCCTCTGATCCTCCCCTTCTGCAGTGAACCCACTTAATTTTTATTCTGTGGGCACCCAGCTTTATTTCCAACCTTTGTACCAAGCAGGTGGCAGATTATAGCCATTGTGGTCTCTGACAGGGAGCACAGTGGGATCAAGCTGATTATAGTTATAGGAATTTGCAAGCTTTTAAAAACACTGGAGAACATCCCTATCACCAAAAAAAAGACCTGATTGATGCACTTTAATTGCTTCTGTTGTTGGAGATTAAAAGACCAACAGTAAGTAAACATTTTTATTTGTTACCTTTTCACATTTCCTTCTTTTTTTTTCTTTTACTGTGCTCTATTCCCATGCACTGGATGGAGTTACTCATATGGACCATGTGGGTACCCAATAGTAAGCTCTTAAGGTATTGAATTTAATTGAATTTATTGTTCTGACTTAGTGCAGATGCCTTGAAATTTCATACTGTCACATAACTCCTGGTCATGCTTTTATATTTTCCAAGCTGTAACAGATTGGATAGCTGTAGGTGGAAAGAATAACAGACCAAGTTGTCAGCCCTACACTGCAAGTTTGAACCTAGTCATGACCTAAAATGGCAGAAAACTGTTTTCAGACCTGTTTGGTGTTTGTGTAAAATGAGTTCCTTTTTGCCATTTGGCTTCTTAGTAGAGATATAGCCACACTTGAGACATTTCTACTGCACTTCACAGCCTATTAGAATATTTAAAGCACAGATGGGCCCAAAGAATCAACTATCCTTTCCCATTGGCAGGCCTTTCCTGCAGCTCCTTTAATAGCTTCTCAATGGATAGCAATGCGATTACATGTTTTGGTCCTTGTGCTTTTCAAGAGGTGTAAATGAAGAGCTGCTTCTTAAAACACATGCATTGTTGACAAAAGAAGTCATCCCATCTATGAACGTAGAAACACTCTATGTTTTTGTGGGCCAGTGCAGAGCCATAATTCAGCTGTTCATGGAAATATGAACATCCTTATTGTCAAGTCCTCTTGCAATGATTTTAAACCTAGCCCCTGATGTCTGATTGGATCCAGCTTGACTCAAAACTCCACTGATTTCTCCATGGGGCGCATGTAGGTGAAACTGAAGTTAGAGTCAACCTCACAGTGTTCAGGAATGTATTTTCCTTCAAAACCTTTAAATGTCTATTTATATTTTGTCAGCTGTTAGATACAAGAACAATGAATGAGCCTGAAACAGTGTGGCTGGGTCAGCTCTCCAACACTACTGCTCATCCTGATGGCCTAATGCCAAGAGAACCAGAGGCTGCAAAGTGGAGACTCAGGACATTGGAAGTGGAAGCAGTAAATCTTGACCAGTTCCTGTACAGCCAACATGTCCTTAAAACTTTCACCAGCTGCCTTTGAGACAGGCTAGTTCTCCAGTGCTGCTGGTGGCAGAAGGAGAAGGATATACCCACAGCTGCACTGTGTGCAGTGGAATTAAGACCATATTGGTTGCACAAGGCTTAGAGCTGGCAGGAGGAAAGGGATGGGTTACCTGGACCCCTTTTCATGCTCTTCCATGGCATTGTCACTAGGGCTGCATGGAGGATGGTGAGGCTGTCTGTGTCATCTTGAAAAGTTTTGGACTAAAACTCCTGACTACACAACAGCAGAATGGTGTTGAAATGTCCATTTAAATTCTGACAGCTCTGCCTGGGTCTCTGTGTGCATGGGCATGTGGGAGGAGACTTGCAGAGGGATCCTATTCACAATCTTTACTGTAGTTTAAATCAGAGTTTTCAATCCAAATCAGGGTATCAGAGCTGAAACCAAAAAATTGCCAAAACACTTACTATCTTGAAAGATCATTTCTGTTCTTTCCATGGGGCCATATCTTACAGCCTATACCCCAGTTTTGACAGAAGTTAACTGCTGTGATCATGAATTTATATGAATCTCCCAGACTGAGCAAGACTGACAAGTATTTTTGTAAATTGTCAGTAAAACAAATGTTAGGGGGTAGGGAAAAAAGGTCTGGTCTGCCATGAGATGTGCCAGGTTTACTTTTAGCTGCAAGCGCTGTTGGACCAATTAAAATGAACACAGAGGCTCAGCTCATTCATATTTGAAAATGCTCTAATGCTTTTGGCCACAGATTTTGCTTATGGGACAAGTACCTTTAAATTAAATACACAAGAGTTTAGTCTTTAAGACTGGGAGGAAGATTGAAACAGCCGGGGGTGGCCTATGCTGTTATATACCTTTATTAAACTCTGAGAGGCCAAAGGGGTAGGCCAGCTTTTAAGTGCTCTGGAAGGTTTGCAAGATTCTTCAAGGGCTGCTGCTGCTTTCCTTAAATGCTACAAGATACAGACAGGTTGGACACAGCAATATTTCCGTTTACTTTCAGAATACGGCAGTAAAATTTCCCTGTACTCCCTAGGGTTTGCTCTTCTGCTAAATTACGGTGCAGAACATACTATTAGCAGAGATGCCAAAACCTAGCTAGCATCTGACACCTTAACCTCCACAAGAATTATATTAAAGTAGTGGAAAGATCTACCACAGTCTCTATTTGTAGAACGGCAGGGACCTCTGTTACAGCAGACAAGTGGGTCAGAAAAGATTGCTATATACAGCAACTGTCAGATTAAATTGGCTGGCTGCTCAGAAATTTGTTTCTCACTATTTCTCCAAATGCTTTTTAAGCTTTGTAAGACACAAAGTAGAAAGGTGACTATGGATATTACGCATTCCAACGACCTGTTCGATTTTAATAGAGACTTAACATTTTCTTAGCACACAGAAGCTGTGTGTGTTGCCCTTTGCCTTGCACAGGCCCCCTATGGAGTGCTGATAAATTACTATTAAGGCACTGTAACAAGGACATTAGGGCATGTGATGATTCTCACACCACTGATGAACTGCTCTGTTCTGTTCTTTCAAGCTGAAGCTGGGTAGGGATGCTGGTATCAGCCTTTTGC